GCAGAGGGGCCTTGCTTGCATATGATGGCATATATCACATTGGTAGATGTGCAGGTGAACGAGCCCCTGATGGTATGGCTGATGTGATTAGGTCCTATGATGATGTCACTTGAATCCCACGAAAGCTTATGCTCTAATAAATTTGTTAGTCTCTAAGGTGCCACAAGTACTCCTGTTCTTTTTGTGGATACAGACTAACACGGCTGTTACTCTGAATCCAGAGACACTGTTTGTGATGTTCCCTGCCACAGAGCAGGGTGATGTGTTTTCCTTTAACTTTTCCCATTTTTCCTTATTCTTTTCTTTAAATTAATTGTTAATTAAACAACTTGTATTTGCTTTAAATTGTATGAAATTATCAGTGGGTCAGGGAGGAGCCCAGTGCAGCGAGAGTACCCCGGAGTGGGGACACCCTAGCCCCTATCCCAGGTGACCACAGCAGGGTTGGGGGTCGAGCCCCCCAGGAATCCTGGGCCCAGTCTTGCTGGGGTTATGAGGACTCTGCCAGACAGGAGAGTGGAAGGGGAGTCCTCAAGGGCAGGGAGGCCTCTGGGTAAAGGAAGTGGGAGCGAGGACTCAGATCCTTTCGCTAGCCCACTTCACCGGGGTAGTGCAGAAGCCAGGAAAGTTCCCCACAATAGCGGGACTATTTCCCTGCTTACATAATTGGAGTTACGAACAGGATCCTATCCACAGGGTCCACCCCATTGGTTTACTGGTTGAGTTCTAGTAGCACTGTCCGGGCCTGGTTGAGCACCCTACCATGGCTGGAATTGAAGAACTACGAACCCAGTTTGCTGAACTTCAGCACAGATTATCAGACCAAGCGGAGGCATTACAACAAGCTAGAACTGAACAGAGAGAAGCCTTATCGCTGGCCAAGGCGGTAATAGACCAACAGACAGCAGAAGCTAAGAAACCCCCTGCTATTTACGTCCCACGGGAGCGGAAGGTCACAGAGTTTGTGGCTTCCCGACTAGACCAGGAGACATTACAGTAGAGGAGTGGGTCAAGTCTGTGAAGGCAGCTCTGCGTGTGCTAAGAGTGCCTGAAGAAGATCATGTGGACTTCATAGAGGAGCACCTCAAGGGCCAGGCCAAGGCCACAGTAAAGTTCATGCCAGTGGCAGACAAGAAAGATGTGGAAAAGGTATTTGAACTCCTTCTAGAAGTGTATGGAGACAAGGTACCTATTGGAACCCGACTAAAGGAGTTCTTTGAGAGAAAGCAGGAGCCCGGTGAAACTATCTGGGCACACGTATATGACCTCCAGGAGAGAATGAGCAAAGTGGAGCGGCGAGACCCTCAGCAAGTTCCAGACCCAGATACGGTTCTGAAAGAGCAGTTGATGCTGGGGCTCCGTGACGACTCCCTCCGACGTGAAATGAAAAGGAGGTTTAAAGAAGAGCCCAATAAGAAGTTCCATCAACTCATGCAGGCTGCCATTATGTGGTCAGAAGAAGAGGAGGTTCCTGTGGCAGAGACAGCCAAGCTGTACACGAAGTGTGGGCCTAGTGAATGCAACTGCTGGGGAAAAGGCCCTCCCCCAAACAGAGCTAACATTGGAAAGCTTAAGTGAAGCTGTCCAAAAACTGGCGGTCCAACAGAGGGAGATGGTGAAAGTAGGATGACTGAATTGATGAAAGAAAAAAATCCCACTAGTATGCCAAAGTATCCAAGGGCACCGGGATCCTGAAGATCCCCACTGAAGGACGAGCTGGGAAGATACATTTGTTACACTTGTGAAAGGCCAGGGCATACTAGCCGAGAATGTCCACTGAGAAAGAGAACAGCGTCCTAGGCACTCAAAACTAATGGGGCACCAGGAGCGAGTGGTCCATCTACAGTAGAAGGCCAAGCAGTGGCAGAACGATTCCTAGGCCTGTCCTTGGTGGAAAATCCCTCTGCATACAGTGTTGAGAGGAACGTGGGCAGTGCCAGCATATCTAGCGACTTCTGTAAGCAAGCATTTGGAGACAGTCTAACTGCTGAAGTATGTATAGCAGGGCTGAAGACCAGATGTTTGTTAGATACTGGCTCAGAAGTCACCACCATTACTGAGTCGCATTTTCAAAAATATTTGAAGGACAAGGACCTGACCATGCACAGCACACAGTTTGTACGTCTAACAGCAGTTCATGGACTGGCAATCCCAGTGGTGGGGTGCCTTGAAGCAGAGACAGAGTATATGGGCCAGACACTGCCAGGAAAATGCATCTTCATCCTGAAAGACAAAGCCTCAAAAGGGAGCCATATGGGAGAAGGAGTCCCAGGGATTCTAGGAATGAACATCATTAGTGAGCTGAAGGAGCTACTCTTATCAGGAAAAGGAACCAGGAGGATGAACTGTCACGAGCACTCTACGAAGAATGCTGTGCTGAGTAGAGTACTGGCTCAAGCGGAGAGGCAGAGTCATTCCCTGGGCCCCACAAGGCAGATTGGAAATGTTAAAGTGGACAGAAAATGGAAGACCGTTATTCCTCCTTGGAGAGGGAAGATCCTTGACAAACACCACTGTGTACCAGGAAATGAGCTGCAGGTGACGAGGGAGAAGGGAGGACGAGTTACCTTTCTTCAAGAAAGATGTGATGGGAGACTGCCAGTTCCCGTTCAAGCGGCACGCCAAGGGCTGACTCCTGCACATGTGGCTAACATAAGGGCGTTGCCAGAGAAGCATCAAGAAGTCTTTTCTAAGGATGAGGTGACCAATTACGATGACCAGGTCAAAGGTCACCATGACAGGCTGAAGACAGCCTGGAAAGTTGCTCTCGGTACAACTAAAGACACAGTCCAAAGTAGGAAAAGGACTTATGATAGTAAGTCCAGTGGGGCTCTCATCAGATCTGGTGACTGTGTACCAGTTCGTAGCCGTAGACACCGGAGATGTAATAAAATACAGGACAAATGGAAGCCAAATCCCCACACTGTGGTCACCCACAACAATCCCAAACTGCCAGTGTACGCTAATCAGCCTGAACAAGGAGGTCCTGAGAGAGTAGTACATAGGGACCAGCTAAAGCGTTGGACTATTAGTCTGACCAGGGCTCGTAGGAGGCATAGTGCAGCATTTCCTGAGGAGACTGAAACCAATGGGGTAAACCCAAACCCTAACAAGAATGGCCAGATCCCTCAAACTGACCCAGTATTACCCGAGGACAGGGAAATAGAAAATATGGGTAACAAACCACCAGTCTTAAGAAGGTCCCTGAGGCTAATAAGCGTGTACTGCCTGTTAAACTTAAAGATAATTATGTTATTGGTTCTATGTAGTGTTTTAATGAATACCGTTATGTATAGTATAAAGAAGTAGATGTGAAATGTTAAATACGTTAAATGTTCTTTTGATAATTGTTAATGGGTTTTTGATATAAAATTATGTGGGTATATGTTGTTACTATGGGGCCCGGATGTACTGGTGTGAATATTGTGGCTGTGGCAGAATTTTAGCAAGGGGGAATGTAAGGGGACGGTTGCCCCCTTACTAACACTCAGTGGGGGTGTTTTGGTTGGATAGCTCCCAGCACTAAAAGGGGAAGGGTCAATGGGAAATCAGGACCCTGAGACTGACAGTCCCCAGGAACAATGGGGAGAGGCCAATGCTCCAGAATAGCCTGATTGACAGGGTGGGCAGGCTAATCAGGGAGTCAGGAGGCCAGGGGGGCCCGTCCTCCGTGTGAACTGGAATTGCCTGGGTCAGACAGAGTGGGGCCGAGCTAAGGAGAGGGCAGGGGCCCAAGCTAAGCTGCTGGAAGCAGAGCTGCAGCCCCAAAGCCAGAGCACAGCCCAGAGAGAGCAGAGCTGCCCTGGGAGGAGAGCTGCAGCAACAGAGCCAGAGGGGCCAGACAAGCAGCCAGGAAGCAGGTCAGAGCTGGGAGCAGAGTCACAGAAGCAGCCTGCAGAGCCGATCTGTCCTGGGAGCAGAGCTGTAGCAACCAGAGCCAGAGGGGCCAGAGAAGCAGCCCAGGGAGCTGGAGGCAGAGCAGCAGCAGCAGCCGCGCTGAGGCAGTGTGGAGCTGGGGCTGGAGCAGTCCGGAGTTGGGTGCGGTGAGCAGCTGGAGAGAGTGAGGGGGACCCTGGGCAGTGGGCCCAGCGCAGGGAGACGCCTCAGCCAAGAGGCTCTGCAGGCCAGACTTGGAGGGGGATCATAACCCTGACCGGGCAGGGTGGGGGCGATGCTGGGAAGAAGGGTCCTGTCACCTAGAGCCTGAGAGTGTGTGGCCACCGCCAGAGCAAGTGTCCAACCCGCAGCATCCCTGCAGCACAGCCAGGGCCTGAGATGGAGGCCTGGGACCTACAAGGAACAGACTGTGAACTGCCCTGACGTTCCAGAGACACTGTTTGTAATGTTACCTGCCACAGAGCGGGGTGATGTGTTTTCCTTTAACCTTTCCCATTTGTCCTTATTCTTTTCTTTAAATTAATTGTTAATTAAACAACTTGTATTTGCTTTAAATTGTATGAAATTATCAGTGGGTCAGGGAGGTGCCCAATGCAGCGAGAGTACCCCAGAGTGGGGACACCCTAGCCCCTGTCCCAGGTGACCACAGCAGGGTTGGGGGTCGAGCCCCCCAGGAATCCTGGGCCCAGCCTTGTCGGGGTTACAAGATCTCTGCCAGACAGGAGAGTGGAAGGGGAGTCCTCAAGGGCAGGGAGGCCTCTGGGTAAAGGAAGTGGGAGCGAGGACTCAGATCCTTTCGCTAGCCCACTTCACCAGGGTAGTGCAGACGCCAGGAAAGTTCCCCACAATAGCTGGACCATTTCCCCGCTTACACTGGCAAAAAGCCGAACTGCAAGATATTGACATTCATGACACACTACTTGCAAAAAGAGAGGGGCAAAACCCTGTTGCAATTATTCCATCTACCCCCCGAGAGTAGACTACTATTGAGGGAATGGAGCAAACTAAAACTGATACAGGGAGTACTGCACCGTATCACAGTAGATCCTTTACAAAATCAACGAACACAGCTATTGCCACCAAAAGAGTACAGAGCCCTGGCCATGAGAGCCCCGCATGATGACTTTGGACATTTGGGAATGGAGAGAACCCTGGAACTTATCTGTACTAAGTTCTACTGGCCCCGGCTGGCTGAGGATGTACGGAAGAAATGCGAGACATGCGCCTGGTGTGTTCAAAGGAAAACTCTGCTTGCTAGAGCAGCATAGCTGAGGAATATCACCAGCGCAAACCTTTGGAGCTGGTATGCATTCATTTCTTGTCTTTAGAAGTGGACAGGAGGAAAACTATCTGCAGTATGTTTTCCCGACTAAGAGAAAAACTGCAGGATTCTTATCGCTTGGCTACAGCTGCTGCCCACAAGAATTCAGATAGTAACAAGCACCAATATGATGCAAACATAGGCGCCGACTCCGTGGGTGCTCCGGGGCTGGAGCACCCACAGGGAAAAATTACCAGGTGCTCTGCACCCACCGGCAGCCAAGCTCCCCCCACCCCTGCCTCGCCTCCTCCTCCCAAGTGTGCAACGTCCGTGCTCCTCCCACTCCCTCTGAGCGCTTCCCCAACTGCCTAACAGCTGTTTGGCAGGACTTAGGACTTTCCAGGAGGGAGGGGGAGGAGCGAGGACATGGCGCGCTCGGGGGAGGAGGCACAGAAGAGGCGGGGCAGGGGCAAAGACTTGGGAGAAGGGGGTGGAAATGGGGCGGGACGAGGGTTGTGCAGGGGCGGGGCCGTGGGAGGACGGGGTTGAGCACCCACGGGGCAGAGGGGAAGTCTGCACCTATGGATGCAAGGGTGCGTTCACAGGAGCTCCAGCCAGGGGACAGAGTTCTTCTGTGAGATATGGGTGTTGCCGGCAAACACAAAATAGCTGACAGATGGAAGGCAATACCTTACCTGGTGGTGGAAAAGCTGGGAGATCTGCCAGTGTACAAGATGAAACCCGAGACGAGGTCGGGACAAACAAAGATGGTGCATAGAAACCTCCTACTGCCTGTTGGAGAACTGGTAGGCACCTCTTATGGAATGGACCATGTCATAGGACCTCCTGTTATGACCCAAGCCAGAGACCCCCACCCTGTGACTCCTGAAGGGGAAGGAATCATTCTCCCCTAACGTGTGAGTAGCACTGTCAGTTTTGAGCCCAATAAATGAGCTAGTGACTGGCAGCCCTGACTCTAACTGGGGCTGGGCTGCCAGCTCCACAACAGGGAGCCTGGAAGCCCTGAGAACTCCGATTGGAGATGGGAGGCTGGCAGTTCCTGGAGACACAGCTCAAGAATGTCAATTTCACTCAGCATCCCAAATGCAAATGTTAAGCCATGTGATAAAGTGGCCTAGATGCAAAGTAAAGGTTTTAAAGCATCCCGTGAAAATGAAAATGAAGACTTACATTGTTATCTGAAAACTCGCAACAGCTGAGCCATGGTTCTTCACAGGCTTTAGGGCATCTGGACAATGATGACCATAAAGACCTGCTTTCGCCCCAACCTGAAGGCAGATGTTCAATAGGATGCAAAGAGAAAAGATGGTGCTAATACAGGGGCGGTCAAACTTTTTGGCCTGGGTTCTGGAAATTGTATGGAGGGCCGGTTAGGGGAGGGCCGGTTAGGGGAGGACCC